GATGGCAAAAAGAAATGTAAATAATATCATATGCATTTTACAATCAGTTCCCCTTAAGGTTATCTTTTATTAGTAAGATACATTTTGTTAATTATTGATTTATATTAAAGTCAGCAAATGTTATTGGTACATTCAGTGGTTGCATATATTTGTTGTCTTAAAAGCATTTGCAGAGAGCTCAAAGGAAGTATACATGAACTTAAAAGCAGATCCAAAACAAGTGATCATAACTGTATTTTCTTACAAATCCATCAGCACATTCCTATTCCTGTTTAAAGGGTTAAGCTAATGTTATCTCCTAGAGTCCTGTCCTCCAGCAGATGTGTAGATAACTTCACCTGCAGCCATCTCTATTCACATACTTAAAGGTAAGGGTAGCATATTTGCAGAAATAGGGTTGTAGACTATCTGTAAATTGCTTGCCCAGCTGTGTGACAGAGCCACTGCAGCTTCATCACCTTCATAACCACTTGTTTCTCGAGGCTTACAGGTGTTCTCAGTTACAAATCCTCAAGCTGTCAGGGACTGTTGGAACAGAATCATTTTTCACTGGAGAGAGAATGCAGTTCAGCAGATTCAAAAGCATACTGGCAAGTAATTTTTTTTTTCCTGAAATTTTGTCAAAAAGGGAAAAAATAGGAAAGTTGAATAAGCTTTATAAAAGTTCTTGTGAGGGTTTTTGGTTTTTTAAATTATTTTCCTTCAGATTACTTCCTTCTGAAATACATTTTATGATACAAAATGTGCGAAAAGATCTAGATTCAGACAGAATATTTGAGTTTTGCAATATAAATACTTGGGTCAGCCTGGGATTGTTTTCACAGAGATTTAAAACATTTTTTGTTTCGTTTTGTTTGTTTATTTCTTAAGTGAAAATAGGGCAAATTTTTCAGCTTTCCCACCATATAGAATTCCTGTTCATACTCTGAAGACATTTCTGGCATTTCATTAAATCATTGGTTTATTTTGATTACCAGCTCCCACTAGCAGTTTCTCCCCACATACCAGGTAAGACAGACAGACATGTTCCAGGTGAAAAGTACTCTAAGCAATAAAAATCTGGTGCCAAGCCTGGTTTCTGTGCCATTCCTGTCCTGCAACATAGGCAGAGCCATAGAAAATAAAGGAAAAGCTGCATTCCCAGAATTGCACAAGTGGAGATCTGAAATCTGGAATGCCAGCAGTCCTTACTAAAGGCATAGCTGTTACGAAAGAATCAAAATGCCACAAATACTAGGAAAATTGGATTTTCAAGCTCGTTTCAGGGCCTGATTGTGACTGGATCCTCCTAGCTCTCTGACAACAGAGGACTGTTGCATTTCAGGCTATTAAACTTTAATTGCTTAGTAGCATCACTATCTTTAGAAGAACACACACGTCTTGAATGAGCAGATTGAAATTGTAGTGCCAAATGCTGTTTGTATTCACAGAACCCAGGCAGGGTGCTGTCACAAACCTTACTATTTAACTGATGCCATGTATTAGAAATGAACCTCCCTTGTCCAAAAAACAAGGCAAAATTCCCTTGTTGGAGAGAATCAGCAGGATTTTGGGGGCAAAATCCATCCTGGTAGATGCCAGTCCAGCACAGGTCAGGTTTGTGGGCTGGCCCATATGTGCCATAGTAAGCAGCTTTTGACCCACTTTGGCTGCATCACTGCAGAGGCCAAAATGGGATTTGGGGTTGCATTTGCAAAATTAGCCAAAAGCAACACCAGGGATACATTTGCATTTAAGAGATGAGAACCTGCTTCTCCCACCACCTTCTTTTGCAAAGACGTTTAAGAGCAGAAGAGCACTCAGGAGGTTCTCCGTGCTCTGATGATATAAAAATTATTTTCTTTTCTCAATCTTACCAATCTGTGTCCTTAATATAAAAACATACATTTGATTTGGGAGCCACTTCACATTTTCTGAAACGCAGCTTCCCAGAGGAAGAACCAGACAGCTGTTGGACACCTACAACAGGACTACACACACACAGCTTTTTACTGCAAGAGTTGCCAAATCTGTCACTGCTGGTTCGAGATTACAAAAGAGGCTGTAGTACTACACAATGTATACTTTTTATTTACTTTTCTGATGGTCTGCTGAGGTTTTAGTAACATTCCCAACATGTATTATTTCTAAACTTTTTCCAAGACATGATGCAGCCTCAATAAAGGAGCTCATGTATGACTTTTAGAGTTAGATGATAATGTATATGTAAATAATGCTTTGATATTAATACAACTGCCTTAAAGGAATGTACCTGGGTGTGAAACAAAACTCTTAAAGCTCTTATTTAAAACTGTAATTTCCTTTACATATTGATTTTTTTAATGTTTGCCATTGTATACATTTATTAATGATGTTATTAAAATGCCAAACCAAATAATTTTTATTCTTATTTTGTGTGTACATTTATACACACTTTTTCTGGAAGCCGATGTTCCTGGAAGGATGTTGGTGTTCAGTAGTGATGTTGTGATCTGTGGGTGATGTGTTCAATATTTCTGTTGGAAGGAAACACAAAAAACTGAAGCACATTTTTTCTGGACAGTGTGTAGTTTGTTTTGTGTTATTTGTGTAGACATCTAGCTTTTAACGATACATTATCTTGATATTTTTTTTAAAAAACCACACTAATTCCATAAGTAAATACAGTAAGATTATAGCTTTTGCAAATGTACTATTTGAGGCTTTGGTTTTGCTTGGTTGTTATTTTTGCTGATACAAGACTCAATGTCTTGTGAGGACAAAAATTGTTTTAGGCAGTACAAATTTATTGTTTTAGGCAGTACAAAGATTTATGAAGCATAGTAAACTGCTGTTGTGCACGTGTCTTTAAAAGAATTTTCACATTTAAAGCTTTCTTGATACAAAAACTTGCCAAGTCAAATTTAATATGTTTTTAAGTGATAAAGGATTTTGGGCTACTGCAAAGAAGAAATCTTAAAGGGGAGAGTGAGTGGCAGGCAGAGAGTAAAATACATTTTAAGGACACACAGAACTATCTTAATACTTAGCCAATTTAGTAACACATTTGTCAGTCCAGAGTTCATTAATCAACCCTGTATTCCCAAATACCAGATATCCCTTTCAGCCTTTTCTTTAACAACAAATATAAAATTGCATCTGTCTGGACATCTTTCTAGTGACTTTTCCTATAGGTGCAGCCTTTCTAGGTCATTCCTTTCTCATTTGAGATGACTGCTATGATAGATAAAGCAGGTTTGTGTCTTTCTAAGGTGGAGGGGAGAATTTAAACTGCTGTAACATGAAGTGCTCTGTCATTCAGTTCACATCTCAGAATAGCTGCCAGATCTTTCCGAAATGAAAGAAACGCTGGTTAAGGATGTTTGTGAAGTAACTTGTCTTGCCCTAGTAGGTGCTTTTTGTTACTCAGTTATGGTTTTTGTTTACTCTGTAGAATAAAAATTTCACTTTCTTACAGGGAAAAAATGCAGTCTGACACAAATATTTATGATGCTCACAGCTCATAGAACTGTCTTGGCCATTTTGAATGAAATGGAGTCAAATTGGCTGATTTTTTTCTTGTGTTTCTTTTGAAGCGTTTCCCTTAATCGATGCTAGTATTGCGGCCTGTAGGTGATGCAGTAGCAAATGGTCATACAAGATGGCAAGTCCATTTATCTGATTTTTTTCATGCTTCTGTATTTGTTTCTGCTCCGTCTCAGCTTGCATGGACACTCACCTTTAGGCATTGTATGTACGTAATGTGTTCATTAGGCTGTGTTCAAAAGCCCATTTTCCCAACATCTTCAGGTTTTGTCCCTCACTTTCACTGCTCCCCTGTCTCTGGGTTTTGTGTGTGTGCTCACTGCCACACTGCACTTTACTAGACTTCATGGAGTCTCTGCTGCTTCTCTTCAACACACAGACTGCTTGAGGGTTTTTTTTATTTAGGCAGAAGAGAGGGGAAGAATTAGATTACAAATTTCATGTTGAGAACATACTGGTCTTGTTCTGGTTATAGGACTTTTCTGTACTAAACATATTTAATATATTGAAAGCCGAATCAGCCTCACCTCAGCCTCTTAAATGTGAGGATGTTTTCACGTGCAGTCCCCTTCTGAAGGGAGAAGCTCAACCACAGTTACTTGTTGGGACATTCTCTCCATTTCTATAGGTGCTGGTTAAGGTCCAGTGAAGCAGAGAAAATCCATGTCGTCCATGAGGTTCTCAATCTGGAAATCATGCACAGAAGTTCAGTTCCAGGTTGTACTAACTGTCCTCCCAGGTGTCACTGAGGAAGACCACACCTGGTCAGGGATGTGCAAGTGAGCTCCTCTGCCAGGAGAGACTGAGACCAGGGTCACACTCTGCCTGGCAGCTGTCAGGAGGCTCCCTCAAGTCCTGCTGGTTTTGGAGGGGCCCTAGAGATGGGGGAGGCACACGCCTGTCTTCATGGGCAGTAAGTAGCCATGTCATCTGGGAATTACCAGAAGACTTGACATTTCTTGAGGATACTGTGAAAGAGAAAATGCAACTATAAACATAGACAATCAAATGCATTTTCTTAAGTGTAGCCAATTTGTAAGGTAGGCAAAGGTAACAGAAAGCAACATACAGTAGAGGATAAATGGGTACAGGTACACAATATAGAAATGTCTCTCCTGTGTAAATTGACAAATATTTTAGAACTTTTTAGTTATTTCCTCATGATATTAAGTTTAAACCTTCAAGACCTGTCCCACACATAGGAAGTTGCATTTTTATCCATTTTATTAATAAAGACTATAACATGATTAAAATAATGCCTTTTCTACTTACTGGTTACTTAGTGGTAGATTGGAAACATGTCTTAAAGATTATTCTGTTAAACTTCTAATAACCCAAGGACAGTGGTTTTTCTCACCAGATTATACAATCACACAATTGAAAAAATAAAGGAGGAAGCCTGATTTTTGTTCGTTTGTTGGGTTTTTTTAAATTTTATTTGTAATGAGACTTTCACCAGTGCTGCTTTACAAAATCTATGCTTAGTAACAGAAAAATTACTTCGTGTCTTCATCAAAATGTATGATGATGGGATCATGGCCTGTTGATCTCACAAACTTCAAAAAGTCATCGGGGCTTAAGCCCATGGTTGCAGAATTTGTCATTGGATGAAAATATACCTTTTCATGGCCACCTTCCAGAAAGCCAGCATCCAGCACCAACGTCACATCTCCCTGGTCACAGAAGAGGGCCAGGGGTGTCGCACAGCCCTGGCCCACTTTCAGTTTTTCCAGCATGGCATTTTCGTCAGCAAATCTTAGGTTTCCACTTCCAACGCCCAGTTTTTTAGCAAGATCATTTAAATTGATTTGCCTGTTGTGCAGAACAGTCACCAGCCAGAACCCTTTCTTCTTCTTGTCTTTAAGAAAAAGGTTTTTACTGTGACCTCCTTTCATGTGTTGGACATGGGGCATCATTTCTTCAACAGTGAACACCTGGAAGATACCGTCAGTGTGGTGTCAGATTATATCCTGTTAGACTTCCACGTGCACACGGGCAGGCGTCTTTTGTTAAATGCCTGGGAAAGGCTGAATGTTACGCTCAGCCCAAGAACTACCCTTTTATGAGAAAATTTTAACAGAAAATGTGCAGACTTTACAGATCATTTCTATCGTATGAATACAGCAAGAATATCACACTTTTAAAACGCAGAAAGGCAGCCCCGGCAGGACACACCCGCCTCTTTGTGTCTGCACCGCAGGCGGGCGGGAATGACGTGGCGGCACCTGCACTTTTAACTGGGAGCGAGAGAAAGCCCGAAAAGCACCGCGGACGCTGCCGGCTTCGCGGCAAAGAACTGGATGGGCCGCAGCTCCTGAAGCCGGGGGGAGGGGGAAGAGGGCCCGGGGTACAGAGGCAGAGGGGCAGCAACCCGGTGGCTGTGCTCAAAGCGTCCCAAAAAAGCCTCAAACCTTCCGCCGGGTCCAGCATCCCTAGGTCTGTTTAACAAGAAATGCGAAGTCTGACACTTTCCATACCGATTATGCTAAAAAACCACCCACAACCGAACACCAAAATACGCGCAGGGCCTCAATCTACCCGGCAGCCCCATTCGTACGCAGGGTTCTGTTCCCGCCGCCATCGCCTCCCGCTCCCGGGCCCGGCGGGGAGGGGCCCGGCAGGCCCAGCCCCGCCCTGCCTGCCCGGTGCCGCCGGCCCGGGGCCCGCGGAGTGACCTTTGGTTACCAGGCTTGGCCATCGCGTCAAACCAGAGCAGGGGAATTCAGAGTCCTTGCCTTGTAATAACCAGAGATGCCCAGAGAGACATTAAGGTCTCCCTCTGAGGAGATCCAGCCCAACAGGACACGCTTCCGGGCAGCCCGAGCTCCCTCCAGCCCTGCCTGCGCGGGGGCTGAGGTGGCTCCAGGGCCGCGCTTCCCAGCTCCCAGGAGACCCGTGCTTGCTGGGTGCCAGCGGGGAGAGAAACCTGGCTGTCCCTCTGCTCCCGCAGCCCCAGGGGCTGCCAGCCGGCCTCCTGCAGCTTCACCTCGCTGGAGAGCAAGCTGTGCGCCCACAGCACCTCTCCATACGGCTCCCTGTACCTCCCCTCCCACACAGGTCAATGTTTCTTTCAAAAGAAAACTGTTTCCGTGTTAAATAGTCACAATAATACATGGATTTGACACACACCAGGTTTTCACCTCCTCTGTGAATCATATTTGGATCAAATATGTACCTGTTCAATTCTTCATGCCTGTGCTTGCTGTAATTTCAGGTGCATTGCTGATGTGCAGATCTGCTGAAAACGTTGCAGCTAAATGAGGGAGTTAAGAAAGAGTCAAAGCTAGAAAAATCAAACCAATCAAATCAACGATTTAGTTAATGATGCGCACTAAAACCAAGATCTGCATAATGAAATTAGTTTATTTAAAGGCAACCAGTAATAATCAAGAATTGCATCTAAGGGACACAGCCAAGCATTAATGGCCACATAGTTAAGCGGAATATATTCCTACACCCAAACCATTGTCACGATCTGTGACAGCAGAAGTTATTTCTTTTCAGTTTGCCCTTCAGAAAAACAGGCAGCCTGTAATAAAGCTTGAAATTAAACCAGCATGAATCTGTGGTTAAGAGACATGCAGATAAAATGTGATCCCACGCTAATTCCCAGAGCCTTACAGCAACACACTGAAAGATTTCCAGGCAGCATCCAACAGAAGATCAACTCAAAAAGCAGATTTGCAGTAAACTCCAGTGACTGTTTTACATGCTAAATTTATCTTTCAAATAAAACGTTTTCCAGGTCAATCCCAGCCTCAGCAGAGTCCCATGGCATGAAGGACGTTGCCCTCCGCCTGCAGGACGGCAGCTCTGTCTGTGTGCTCGCCCCGTCTTCTGCCAGATCTGTCCCTCTGTGCAGGAGCACAGGCTGCATCGAGTGCACCTCCCACCACCTTTGACATCCAAGCTTTTTTACTGCTGTTTATTTCTGAGGTTATTTTTCCCATTTTACCTTTGCAGGAACCCTTGAGTGCCCTGTGTGTTTTAAGATACCACTTCGTACCTGGTGCGTTCATCAGCAGATGGTGCCTTTAAAATACAGGACACCTTTTTTTTGTCAATATTCAGCATAAATGACCAAATACTTGCTGAAGCAAGATAACAAGGACGGGAAAACACAGACCTATGCCTAGTAAGCGTGGAAAAAGCCACTTGCGTGAGCTACCACAGGCCCCACATGATGGGCAAAACGTGTGTAGAGGAAATTCCAGTTATTACTTGTGTCACGCAATTTGCAGCTGCCCGATGGAGGTGGCTGTGAGAGCAGGGCTGTCCCAAGCGGACCCCAAGGCTAGAGGATGTCAAAGGATGCAATTTGGGATTATCTCTGGGTTTTACAAAAGGCATTAACAAGGGAACATTAAGGATTTTTCAAAAACCACTTACAGAGCTCCCTCGCAGCTTTTTTTTTTTTCTTTTTCCCTAGTGTATTAAGCGATATTATTTTAGAGATGCCAAATTCGGTAACTTGTTAAGCATCAGCCGGGTTAACGCTTTCGGCCAGGGGAGGGCAGTGCAAAGGGAAGTTACAGATCTGCTGGGTGGAAGGAAACAGCATTTTTTCTGCCTGTGTGTGTATATATATATCTTTATACAGTACGCATACATTTATTAAAAAGATATGTGTGTATATATAGATAAGTATAAAAACATTTAAGAGCCCACAGCCGCAGGACCCCCAACCCCCCCCC